GCTCACACATAGCTTCTGGCAGCATCCATGAAGCTGAGACAGGTTAACTTACTTAGCTCACAAGTGGGTAAAATTTCAAACTGTTTGTAGTTCTTGGCACTAATGATACTGACTCTGATAACTAGTTACCCATCTTAATCAAAACCTAACATTGACAATGGGCATTTCTCTTCAGGCGAACAGTTTCACAGAGGAATTCTATTACTTCAGTGACTTCATTCCAGGAATGTATTAGACACAAAGAAGAATGGGAAAGACCCATGAGCCATTTAGCCTGTTCCCCACTAAGACAAGAAATTGAAAAGGTTTAACTGTGAACCAAATTGTGTCCTTGGTTATTTGAAGATAAATGGCCCTTACTCAGATGTTATAGGTCTTCAGTAAAATCACAGCAGAAATAAAATAGCACCTTTTGCTGTATATTAAATATCCATGTGATACTTCATCCACCCCAACAAATAGGGGTTTGTGTGGCACAGTCCTATAGGGAGGATGGAAAGAATTTACATTACCTCTTTCCAGATAGATAAGAGAGATCTTTTAAAAAAGATTTTTTGGTTTATTTTGTTTTATGTGTATGAGTGTTTTGCCTGAATGTATTTAGTGTATTTTAAGCATACCCATGTATGCAATGCCCACGGAGACCAGAAAAGGGCATCAGATTCCGTGGAACTAAAGTTACAGGTGGTTGTTAGCTGTCAAGTGGGTGCTGGGAACCAAACTCCCATCCTCTGCAGAGGCAGCCAGTGCTCTTAACTGCTGAGTCATCTCTGTAGTCCCAGAGATAGCTCTTTTAACATATGAAAGTAAGGTGTCTGTTTTTCATTCCTAGACATCAACATGGAAAACATTAAAATCATCTTAACCAAAATTTAAAACTCACTTTCTTTTCATGCTGCTGGCAGAAGTTCTTTTCAACTTTTTTCCATTTGATCTGTTAACACATTTTAAACATCATGTAAAATATCTGACTATAATTGATTTAAAGGTGACTGTGAGAAGTTATATTTTAAATGTAAATTTGTAGAATCAGAATATCAATTCCCTACTGCCTTTGCTATTTACATAGACCTTTTATCCATCACTTTCTAGAATCTAAATTTTCATTTGTGTGTGTGTGTAAAGCCAGACAACCCTGGGTGTTGTTCCTCAGATGCCATCCATTGTGTTTGTTTGAAGCAAGAGTCTCTCTGACCTGCTCCACAGGCCATACTGGCTGGCCAGTGAGCTCCAGATCTGCCTGTCTCTGCTTCCTCAGTGCTGGGGTTACAAACTCACACCACCAGGTCCAGCTTTTTAAATGTGAGTTATGATGGAACTCAGGTCATCATGCTTGGAACACAAGCACTTTACTGACTGAGCTGTATCTCTAGCCCTAAATTTTCACTTTAAAAATTTTTATCTCTTCAAATTTATGTGTATATTTGTTTGTGTATTTAAATGTGCCAGAAGAGGGTATTAGAGTCCCTGGAACTAGAGTTATGGCTGGTTGTGAACTGCCTGGCATGGGTGCTGGGAATCAAACTCCAGTGCTCTGTAAGAGCAGCAAGTACTTTTAATCACAGACATCTCTCCAACACAATTTTCACTTTTCAAGCAATTTTCTTGATGCCATAGATGCCTTCCCAAGATGTTCCAAACATGAAAACTCCAATGGCTAATTCCTCCCTTCAAGTCTAAGTCATGCTGGGAAGAGTTCAGCACAGCATGAAAATCTGTACAAATTGCAGAGCTGCTTGGAGATGCTGGGGAATATTTAGGACAGCAAAATGTGGCCAGTCCTGGCAAGAAACAGCACACAGGAATAGGTTCTTTTGAGCAGAGCTTTCAAGACACCATTCCAAAAGGTGTGGGAAGAGCTTAGGGAAACCACAGTGGATGGTTGCAATAGCTGGGAGTCACTACCAAGCTAGGTCTAGAGCCAAGAGCCTGAGAGTTACTCAACTGTGTTGGAAGACTGCCTGACCACAGCTGTGGCCTTCCATGGATGACAGAGTCAACTCACCAGCTTGCAGTGACTCAGCACACAGAGAGCTGAACAACAAAGGCTCTGACCTCCAAGGTCTTCCTTCAATTCAGTCACCTGTCCATGCCCCAGTAGCTGAACCCATCAAGGGACAGAGGACAAGGAAGCCCACTGCTGAAGTTCATAGAATGAACCAGCTTCTTGGGACACAGGAAAGAGGAAGGACGGGGGCTGTGGACAGAAAGCATATAAGCAGCAAAGCCAGTTTAATTCAAAATGCAGATATGAACTGTCATATTCTGAAGGAGCAGTTTCAGTTTTGTAACTTTCTTTCCTTAATATACATGTTCTTTTGTAAAAGGAACTCATGGGTTCTCTACAAAGATTGAGATAAGTTGGAAATCATGTGGAATCACAGTTTCCATGATGAAGGGGACCTACAGGTTTTCTAGTAAGTCTTTATTTTAAAGTAAATCTTAGAGGAAAAGGTATTACTATGTGTATGCCAAGTAGGAAAACTTTTAATAGCTGGAACTCCTGGTTGAGCTTTTGCTCATAGTAGAATCCCAATTCATAGAAACTCAGCTGGAAACTGTAGTTTGAAATAAAAGCAGGTATCAGATACTTTCCCTCATTTCTCTTAGAAACCTTGCAGAAGGAGAAAGAGCACTGAGAAACCGAAAAGCAAACCTCACCTTGCTAAGTAAGACAAGGAATGTGAAACACAAGGTATATGGCACAGAGGGGAATGGCTCCCAGTGGGCAGCCTGGCAGAGACAGGCACGCTTATAGTTACTGATCTCAGATAAGGCTGGTGGATAATCCACATCAAAGAGCTTGGAAGAGAGGGCAAACAAGCCAAGTCTTGACTAGAGGGCAGTGTGCAGAGAAGGGAAGTGGGCAGTGCTGACCACAAGCACACCAAGCTAACATTGGTAGGTGTATCAGCCAGAGAAGCCTGCACTACGCCTAGCCTAGTGTTTAGATTCAGATGGTGGAAGCCAAGACAGTTCACCACCTCTATACTAACCTGTAAGAGAGAAGAAGAAGGAGAGGGAGGGAGAAAGAGAGAAGGGAGGACAGGAACTGGCCAGGGGCAAGGTAGATTTTTTCAAGGACTGCCCCAATGACCTACTTCCTCCAACTAGTCTCCACCTCCTAATAAAGTATCTTCTCCTATAAAGCCATCACTTTATGAACCCATCATTAGATTAATTCATGTATTACATCAGAGACCCCATGACACAATCACTTCCCTAAAGCCACCTCTGAACACTGCTGCACTGGGGACCAGGCCTTTAACACATGAGCCTTGTGGTGGACACTTCATGTCCAAATCATAACAAGGTATAAAAAAGAAACCATGCAAGGATTTTCACAGTACTCTGTGCGTGGTAAAGGCCATTCTAAGTAAGATGTAACAGGAGGAGGAGGTGAAAGCACTGTGGAAAGAATGACTAATTAGAACTGGAATGCATCTGCATGCCCAAGAAACAAAAAGGCACAAACCACATAGGAAGGGCAAAAGATAGCAGCTGAAGAAAAGATGACATTTCCATCTAGGAAAAAGGACTTTTTACTATTATTTAAGAATTTCTATATTAAGTAGAAAATTGGGCATGAGACATAGGCAGAAAACAAAATACAAATGAGACATAGGCAGAAAACAAAATACAAATATCTTTACATGAGAAAATGCTCTCTTAAAATAAGAGAAAACTTAAAACATTTAAAATTTTTATATATTTTTGTGTTAATGCACATGGTCATATGTTTGTGTACTTGAATGGGGGGGCTATGTACGTGGAGGCAGGAGGTCAATCTTGAGTGTCTTCCCCCCTTACTCTTCACCTTATTTTTTTGAAACAGGATCTCTAGCTGAACCTAGAATTCACTGATTTGGCTAGACTGACCAGCCAGCGAACCCCAGAATTCTCCTGTCTCTGCTTCCCTAGTGCTGAGACTACAGGCAGTGCTGCCACTACCCGCTTTTCATGTAGGGGGATCTGAACTGGGATCCTCAGGCTTGAATGGGAAAGCTTGTGACCCCCTGAGCCATCCCCCGCCAGCCCTGAAGACATTCATTCTTTAATAAGTCAGATCGATTAAGTACCATTTCTAACCAAAATAAGAGTATGCCCACTGCAGTCTACATCTCACTCATTATTGCTAAAACCTCTAGGCAAAATACAAAAGCAGGGACATGAGGGACATACAAGTAAATGACAGGTGGCTTGGCAGGGAACGCAAATCTGAAGAGAGACCAACATGAAGTGATGAGATTCCTCCTTTTTTCCTTCTCCACTGCCTGCTGGTTTTGATCTGAGGGCAGAGTGAAATGGGAACTAACAACCAGACATTGTCAGAAAAAAATCTGCGCAGCCTTAGTATCCAGCCATAGTGAAAGGAAAAAAGGCTGCTGTAAGCTAGAGAAAGTCAAGCAGGCTTCCCAACGGTTTTCCTTCCCCTTGCCTTCCTCCAGGCTAGTCATGAAGCTGCTCTTAGAACAACCGCACAGACACCTGCAACAGTGAGGGAACACTTGTCCTTCCAGAGGCAGCAGCTGGGAGAGGGAGATCTTGGGAGCCAGAAAACATGAAGTCTTGAAAGAGGTGAAGGTGAATTTTGGGTAGTGATTTGTTAAGGAGCAAAAGGGAACTAACAAGGGTCCATGCCATTAACTCAGCCCCACCTCCTGTGTTGGCTTTTTTTGTGCTGTTTTTCTTTTTAATGGAGATGGGTTCTACTATGTGGCTCAGGCTGGTCTCCAGCTTCTTGGCTCAAGTGATCCTCCAGCTTCAGCATTCTGGGTAATGGAGGCTACAAAGTTTGTGCGCTGTCTTAACAGACAGTTTTGTTAATGGTGAGATGAAACTAAGATGGTCTCAAGTGTAGAGTCCTTGTCTACCATGCACAAGGCTCTCCAGTATAAAGATTGTCCAAGCAAAAAGGGATTTTTTGAGAACATTTCCATTCAAACTTTATTTTTTCAAATCATTTAAATCAAAATATCAAAAGATGAATATGACCGAAAGTTCAGGGGATGAGAGAAGAGTGCAATTAAAAAACAAGTCTAATGAATCATTAATAAATTCTAAATGTAGCGAAGTTCATGGACAATTTGCCCTGGTTTTCAAAGGGGGAGAGAACTTAAGGACGTAATAATTACACACACAGTTTAGTCAAGTGTCCCCACTGCTGGGAGGCTGGGAGCGAGCCTGCGGCGTCCAACCAGAGCCTTGAAGAAGCCAACCCCGCAGCCGTGGGCGGAGCCTGGTGGGAAGAGGGAACCTGGGACGGAGGCGCAGGCCTGGGAGTGCTCATCCTGGAGGGAGGTGGCCGGGACCCAGGGGACCACTGCAGGGTGAGGTTCCAGGAAGGAATCCCACCCGTGCTTCTCAAAAGTCAACCACGAAATGAGACTGGATTCTGCAGTTTTCCTGGAGCTTCCGGGTCTCAGATCCGAGAGCCAGCCCCGAGCCCCCCCACCCACCCCACCAGCCTAAACAGCCGGTGAGACCCCGTCCCACCCGACCGGAACGACAGCCCGGAAGGCTCCGCCCGTCTCTGCAGTCTAGGTTACCTCACCCCACTGACTGCTCGGCAACCCAGTCTCTCCGTTGCGGTCCCGCCCAATCTGAACGGAGTGACAGCCAGAGGGCCCCGCCCCTTCACCGAGGCTCCGCCCCATCCTACCCGAGTGACGGCCGGAAAGCCCCACCTCTCCGCCGCGGCCCGTCCCATCCAATCCGAGTGACAGTCCGAAGGCCGCGTCCCCGGGGCGTTGACGCCTCCCGGCTGACCACGAGCGCCACGCCCCGGCCCCGCATCCCGCCGGCCCCGGGCTCGGTTCTCCAGGCTCTGGCCCAGACTCGAGGACGCCCTAAGCTGCGGCCCGGTGAGTGGAGAGGGAGCAGCTGGCTGAGCCCAGATGTCCCCCCCACCCCCAGCCCGTGGGAGGCTCCGCCCCGCGTCACACCGCCCTCCCGGGACCCTCCCCTGGGACCGGCACAGGCCTCGCCGGCCAGCGGAGCCAGAATGGAGGCCAGCGCCTGGCGGGCGGGGAATGCAGGCGGGCTAGGTGTGGGAGACACGCCTGGGAAGGGGCGGGGCGGGCTCTGATTGACGTCTGGGGGGGTCGGGGGTGCGGGCTTCCTCTGATTGAGGAGGATGCGGGGCCGGTTCTGTCACCAGGGGAGGATGCAGAGCAGGCGTTGATTGACGCCTGGGCCCCCAGGGTGCGGGCTGGCTCCGAGTCACGCCTCCCTGGCGGCCCAGGCGGAGGCCACTCACTGGGCCGTGAATAGTTCCAGGCTTCTGAGTGGGGCCCATTTGCACTTTAAATGATAGGTGCAGCAGGAACACGGGGGAATGGATGCACTGGGCCCTGCTCCTGTTGTAGCCTCCACCACACCAGCTGGGGTCATGCCTAGAGGTCCTAGACTTAGCAAAGTACACTTCAAGTTTGTTCACACTCCAAACAACAGATGTATCATATTCCCCTAGATCCTGGGGAGTGTACATCTAATCCTGTGGGCTTTAGAAATTTGAAGTCCACTGTGCTCTGAGATGCCTACTTTCTATTTGCCGTTAGAGGTCTAAGATGTTTCTAAGGGCTCATCCTGTCTTAACTTTAAATGATTTTAAATTAAGCCATTTATCATTTAGGTAGGATAAATTGTGAGAACTTGTTCACTGGGCTGTCAACCTTGTGTGAACAGCCGAGAGTGCTCACAAACTAAAAGGCTGTGACTTCACTTTTTATTTTTGTGTGTGTGCACATGTGTATATATGCATCTTCCTGTGTGCCTTTGGGCACAAGGATGCTACTCAGGCCTGTGGAAGACAGAACAGCCACAGGTGTGGATCCTGGCCTTCTGCCTTGTTTGACAGGGCTCTCTTTTTGTTGTTTACTGTGCTGCAGACACAAGGGTAAGTGTCCCTCAAACTTTGGAGGATTCTTTGGTCTCTGCCTCCCATCTCACCATAGAGGCACTGGGATTACAGAAGATCTCTACCCTTGTCTGGTTTACTCTAGTTCTGGGGATCTAAACTTAGGTCTTCACATCTATGTGGTGAGCACTTTACCCTCTGAGCCATCATCCTTTAACCATTGAAAGTTCACACTGAAAACCTGCTATTAATTTTTCTATTAAATATTAGAGATTTGTTAGTACATGGTTGGATTTAAAGCATTAGGGCTGATCTAAGTAGATACATTTGTCAAGTGTTTAGATGTTGTCTATGCTACCTTAAGTCTGTTCCTCACCAGTGTCGGCATACATTTTTTGTAATTTTTTGCTTTTATAAAAAATGTAAGGCCTCTGTTTTTAGAAGTCGTCAGCTCAGAATGTTGAGTATTCTATGTGAATCCAAAGCTATTATTTTTAGTGCATAGGAATTTGTGTATGTATATGTTAGAAAGAGGAAAACGAGAGACTTGTGGTGAAGGGATATATATTTTGTAAAGATTTATTTTATTTTACTGTTTTTGGAGACAAGTCTCCCTATAGCCCCAGCTGGCCTTGATATCACAGAGCCCTGACTCCCTCTGCCTCTCTAGTGTTGGGACTAAAGGCATGTGCCACCACGCCCAACAGGATTTATTTTATTTTTAATAATGTGTGTGTCTGTGTGTAGGTATGTGCACATGTGAGTGCAGGTGCTCATGGAGTCCAGAAGAAGGTCTCAGAGCCTTTGGAGCTGGAGTTATAGGTGTTTGTGAGCCTCCTGTTGTGAGTCCTTTGGAAGACCAATGCATGCTCCTAACTGCTAAGCCATTTCTCCAGCCCCAGGAAGAGATATTTTATTTTCTTTTTTTGAAATATTTTTGGGTTTATAGAAGAGTTGCAAATATGAGAGTTCCCATGTGCAATGACTGAAAACAGGAAACCAAGAGTGATACAGTTCTGTTAATACCCACAGACTTTAGTCAAATCTCACCAGTCTCCTGCACGTTTTTGATTCAGTGTAGGATCTGCCTTTGGATTTAGTTGTCACATGTGGTTAGGCTGCTAATGAAGACACCCTCCTAAATGGGGTGGCAAGGCACAGAGCAGTGCCATAGAGCCAACACCTTCCAAGATTCATCTGAGGAACCCTATCTTTCTTTCCTACGTAGGCAAGTTACTGGTTGAATAAATTACCAACAGGGTACTTGTTTTTGTGTGCTGATTTTGTTTTTTAAAGACAGGGTCTCCCTGCAGCCACAGCTGGCCTGGAACATGCTATGTAGATCAGGATGGCCTCAATCTCACAGAGATCCACCTACCTCTGCCTCCCAAGTGCTGGAATCAAAGGTGTGCACCACCACACCCAGCAAGGGTACCTTGTCTTGTGTGTATGTGTTTGTGTGCTGTGCGTGTAGTAGACCAGAGGTCAACTTCAGCTGTCTTTCTGAAGTTGCTCTCTACCTTGTTTTGAGATAGGGCCTTTCATTGGCCCAGAACTTGCCAGTTAGGCTAGGCTGGCTTGCCAGGGAGACCCCAGGGATCTTCCTGCCTCCACCTCCACAATACTGGGATTACAAGTACAGGGGTTTTAATGTGGGTTCTGGGGATTGAACGAAGGCCCTCATGCTTGTATGGCCAGCACTTTACTGACTGAACATTTCCCCAGCCCCAGCAGGGTAGCTTTGATGACGTTCATGTATCATTTCCAAGTCATCAGCTTGTTATAGAAGACAAGGACTGATCCAAGTAACCCAAGCTTCTTAGGCTCTTAATTAGGATGAGAATTGACAGCAGGGATTTCTCAAAAGTAGAGTGCCAGGTGCCAATTCCTGTCTTGGAATATTTAGGAGGAAAGAGTAATGTCTTTGTTAGGGTGACCAACTTGTCCCATTTTTAAAATGAAAATCTGTTTCCAAGGAGCCTGCTCAATCTGGGGTGACCTGTCTCCCATGTCTGGGAAAAACCACAGTGTGCATCTGACTTTCTTGCAGCCAGTCCTGAGTAGACAGAGGGCATGAGAGAGGAAATGTTTGAGTTTTGCTTCTCTGGGAGCCGGTGGTGAGGAGGGAGCCTGGGTGGGGCAGAGGCTGCCTTGGTCCCTGCAGTCAGGCCCAGCTTGGCTCTGTGTCATGTTCCCATATGGCTCTCACCTGTCTTGTGTCTCCCAGAGAGTCTGAGGGTTAACGTTCCCACCATGTTCCTTCCGAGTGTGGGTATCATCAGCTACCTATGAAGCTGGTTAGCGAGTGTTGTATGACAGACCTTTTTTTGTGGAGACACGACAGACAGACAGACAGACAGACAGACAGACATGTACATCAAATCACTCCCAAAAAGGAATCCATGACAGACCAACACTGAGGTTCAACTTGGTGAACCAATGAGATTTTACTGGGCTACTGACAGGTGCATGGGTCAGCGGTTTCTTACAGAAGCAGGGACCACTCAAAAACAGCTGTATCGCTGAGGAGCCCACCCACCACAGGTGACTACTCATGGAAGCTGCAGGCCTGAAGCTCACTGTATGACTTGCAAGCAGCTCAACAGGTCTGAGAAATCTCTCCTAGCAGTTCTTACTGCTTCTGTAAAGCTGGGGAGGGGTGTTGCACAGTCCTTCAGTCTCCACCTTCCCAGACATGTGACATTTGTTTACCTCCTGAGTCTCTTGAATCTTTGCCTCCTGCAGGGAAATGTTTCAATTTGGAGGAAATAGCTGGATAACAGTGAGAAGCTGTAGCTAGAAAGGGCAGGGCCCCAGCTGACCTTCCACCTTCACTCTACCCTCCTCAGGGCAGACCTTGGTCCTAGGTCTGAGGTAGGATCCAACACTTGGCCTGCCTATCTGTGTTTTGGAGGATGCCTCTAGTCCTGACCTGCATCCCCAGTTCTCTGCTGGTATCCTGGCCCTTTTCCAGCCCTGGCCCTTAAACCTGCATCCTTTCCTTGTAGGCAGTCCCTCTCACCTCCAGCTTGGTCAGAGTTGGCCTTTGTTTATTTGTCTGCTTTGCACTGAGTTTTTTTTTTTTTTTTAATAATTTGGCTCCCATTTCTTCTTTAGTCTCAGATAAGGTGATGTGGGGGGCACATTCATGTCTGTGTTTAATTGAGACAGGGTCTCACTCTGTAGCCCAGGCTGTTCTGGAATTGTCTGTAGTCCTCTGGCTGGCCTGCCTCAAACTTGCCATCCTCCTACTTTAACCTCCTGAGTCAGCTGGGATCACAGATGTGCACGGCCATGCACCACCGGTTCTGGCTTAATAACGTGGCTCTTAAAAGACACCCTTGTGGGCTGTTTTCTTCTTAACCTTTGCATTTGTGATAATTCCGTCGATTTTTAAAATCTAAACTCTGGAAGCTCATAATCCCCAGATTCAGCCCTCCACCTTCTTCTAAATCCCCTTCCCCCATAGCTAAACCCACAGTGTTTTTTTTCTGCATCTTAACCACCATGGTTAAGATTTTCCCTCTTGTGGGCCAAGGATGCAGTAACTGATGTGAAAACCATTTGGATCTCATTCCTCCACAGGTCTCTCTGCTTCATTCAGTTCAACAAATGATAAAACATAACATAACTCAAGGCAGCTTTCTTGATATTGCCCAGGGCTCTGAGGAACGGGGTTGCCCTGCCTTCTGGTCACACTTGGTTGTCTGTCACCCTGGCATGTGATCCTGACTAAGGGGGAGACCAGCTGTGGAAGGGGCAGTCATCTGACTCCCCAGTGCCCTAGAGGTAGGCTGCTGAATTCTTGCAGTTTTCCATTGTACCAACACACTCAAACCTCAGGTCCCCTGTCTGGTATTTTGGTTCCCCCTTTCTGTGCTGTGTGGGTGGTAAAGGTAGGGCAAACCTTGGTGAAATGGGGTTTCAGAATCAGTTTAGGCCAAGGCTGCCACATTGCTTCTTCCTCTTACAGTTTTTCACCACATTCCCCACACTCATGTCGTTGTGGCTGCCACTGAGCGGAGCAGGCCAGCATTCCACTGCCAGTTCCCACAGGGTGAAAGTCTGTCACGTAGTAAAAAATCATAGTAAAATCAGTTTTGCCCTTTGTCATTGTTCCCTTTGTTCTGCATCTTTCTTTTTAAAAAAATATTTTGCTATTTAGCTCAGGCTGGCTCTAAAGTCCCAGTCCTCCTGCCTCAGCATCTCAGCTGGGATTAAAGGCATGCTCTACCATGCCTGATGAAGATTGTTTTTATTTGACAAAATAAAATGTTGAAAACTTGATTAATCTTCAAATTTGGGAGTGGCATGAGTAGTTTATTCAACCTTAAAATTCCTATGTCCAAGGTGTACAGTCCAGATTGCATCATACTGACTGAATATTTCATCTTAGCCTTGGTTAGTCTAGTACTCCTGTTCTAGCTCCTTCAGTCATGTGGACTCAGCTCTTCCAAATGGACGTCTTTCTACAGTTGAAGACAATGCCATTATTCCAAGATGTTTCTTTTCTTCAGTGGTAGAAAACTTTTATTGTCTTCAACTCTCCCTTTGAGCCAAACTTCAAAGTAGAGCCTTGGAGGAGAGATGGAAGAGGGGATCTGCTCTATAGGTAACCAGTTCTCCAGGTATGCTATAGCTCAAAGGACAACACCATTGCAGCACAGGGGTGCAGAAGAGCGGTTGGTCCTCACAGGACTGTGAGCATCGTGTGCTGGGGCCAGGCTCAGCAGGCTGCCTTCCCTTTCCCTTCCTCACATGGCTTGCATTGATCACAACAGAACCTAGGCAATTCTCGCACCTGTATTGGATCTGATATGTGTGGTGTATGTGCACGTGTATGTACAGGTGTGCACGGCTGTATGCATACATGTGGGGGCCAGAGAAGGCTATCAGGGATCTTGCTCTGTCTTTCTCTGCTTTATTCCTTTGAGAAAGGTCTTAGACTGAACCCAGAGCTAGGCTGGTAGACAGCAAGCACCAGTGGTCTGGCTCTACCCCCACAGCACCAGAATTGCAGATGTACATGCTCACGCCTGGCTTTTTACATGGGTTATAGGGATTTGAACTTAGGTCCTCATGCTTTTGCAGTAAGTACTCATACCCGCTCAGCTGTATCTCTAGCCCAGACCTAAGATTTCTTGTGAGCTGAGGCATGCAGGTTGTAGCAAGACCTTGTTATTTCTGACAGTGATTCTGGATGTGGACTTTAACTTTATTGACTTCTAAGTTCACAAAAGGTAAAAGAGTCATTTTCAATGCCATCTACCCCTTCCACACTGGTGGTGTGACTGGCCAATGGATGTGATACGGGGAGAGAATAACATGGTGGATTGCCTCTGTGGCAGCATCTCCCTCTGTCTGGCTTTGGTGGGCTCCAGGCAGCCAGGCTTCTGCACAGATGCTCTAAGGAGGTGAGATGAAGTGCCTAGTCCTTCTGTGTCACGCGCTGTCAGCAGAAGGCCTCTCACTGATGGCTGACCTTTACTTAGGATAGTGTACAAAGCTAGTAAGCTTTTATGCAAGACTGGCATGTTTTCACTGTGGCAAGTAAGACAAATTCTCTTCTACTATGTAGTTTTAAAATAACGTTTGGCTTTCAGTAAAACATGATTTACATATACTGGTGAGAATGTAGGACTTTTATGCTATTTAGGAAATACGGAACCACCCTTTCCCCTCTGATTATAAAAAATACCAGCTCCTTGAAATTCAAACAAAAATGTAAAGAAGATACAAATCACCCTAAATCCTATTACCTATTCATTGGCAGACATATAGATAGCCTGGAACATGCACATGTATACACATGGATCCTGAAACATGTAGTGTATACACAGGTAGCCTGGAACATCACATTTTCACATTTGGGTCTTGGAAAATATACAAGTGTAGCCTAGAACATGCTCATGTACACACATGGGTCATGGAACATGCATGCTCCCACACATATGTGGGTCCTGGAACATACACACATACACACACACACACACACACACACACACACACACACGGGTCCTGGAACATTCTCATGTACATACAAAGGTCCTGAAACATGCAGGGTCACATACACATGTGGGTCCTGGAACATGTATACACACACACACACACACACACACACACACACACATACACACGGGTCCTGGAACATCCTTATGTGCATACACAGGTCCTGAAACATTCTCACATACACATGTGAGTCTTGGAACATGCTTATGTACATACATGGTTCCTGGAATGTGCTCATATACACATGCAGGTCCTGAAACATGCTTATATCCACACGTGGGTCCTGGAACATGGCACACATAAACACAAAAATAGCCTGGAACATTCTTACATACACACATGGTTCCTGGAAAATGCACTGCTACAGGCATGGCCCTGGAGTCAGCCTGCTGGAAAGCCTGTTGTTCTTGAGACAGATTGGATAAGCTGTTCAACCTCTTTTACTTGTACTCTGTTCTGTTTCTCTTTTCCTTTTGTGTGACAGTCTTGCTTTATAGCCTAGATTGGCCTTGAACTTAAAATACCACTGCCTCAGTCACCTGAGGGTGGGGATTACAGATGTGTATCAACCACCATGCCAGGGTCTTTTGCCTGTACTCTTTGGTAAAATGGAAGCATTTTAAAATTACATTTATTTACTTATGTGGTGGGAGGGAGTGCATGATATGGTGCATATGTGGAGATCAGAGGATATCTTGTGGGAGTTGGTTCTCTCTGCCATGTGGGTTCTGATCATTGAATTCAGGCCGTCAGGCTTGGTGGCAAGTGTCTTTACCTGCCCAGCCATCTCACTGACCCAGGGAGTTTTGACATTGCTCCTTCAAAGGGTCTGTGTGAGAATTAAAGAGTTAATTCACATAATCTGTAGACTGTATGTGGGAAATCCTGTGAAAGGTGACAGCTCATATCATTCTGATATTGCTGTTTTATTATGCACATTTATATGGAATCATACATTTTTCTTAAGGTAAGTTAGGAAATGACCTCCTTATTAATAACTAAATATAATTATTAGCAATATAGTTGGATTCCTGTAGTGAATGGTTCTGTTGTACCATTCTTTAGTCACTCTCCTGGTGAATGTTAGGGTATTGGGTCGTTTCTTTTTTGTTGTTTCTTTGTATAAATTCATAAGTCAATAAACAAGACCTGTAATGAACTTTCATATTCATACTTTGTTCAAAGATCACAAATTTCAAAAATGAAGCTGAAATGAACTTTTATATACATTTTAATTTTCTTTTGGGGGTAAATTCATAGAAATAACATTGTTATATTAAAGAGTATAGATATTTGCTCTCGGGGTGGGTCCATCGCAGAGCCCTCCATGCCTTGACTCCCCCGGCCTCATTCGCCCTTCCATCTCCCCCGCTGTTCTCTGCTCCTGGTTTGGGCCCTGCGCCATTCCTGGTCTTGGGTCTCCAGACACCTGGGGAACCGGTGCTGCTTCCTGATCCTTTTTGCCCAGGCCAGCTTGGGGCCTTCCTTGGGCTCCAGGAGCACTGTTTCTGCGGGACCTGGCCCCACCCTCACCTCTCCCTGCTTCCCGGACCTGCACCACTGGCTAATTCTCCTGGCCCGCTCTCCAGCCCTCAGGCCTCTCTTGGGGTAAATCTACCACGCAGCCCTCCGCGCCTTGACTCCCCCAGCCGACCTCACCCTTCCTTCTCCCCCGCTGTTCTCTACTCCAAGCTTGGGCCCTGTGCCATTCCTACTCTTGGGGCCCCAGACACCTGGGGAGCCAGTGCTGCTTCCTGACCCTTTTCACCTGGACCGGCTTGGTGCCTTCCTTGGGCCCCAGGAGTACAGCCTCTGGACCCAGTGCCCCCCTCCCCTCTCTCTGCTTCCCTGGTCCT